GTCCACAATTTCACAGCTTGCTGGGATACTGTTTCTTGACTTCACTAGTTTAAGAGCATTTCGCGAAGTGTAAGGGAGGTAATAAGCGATTGCTAGCCTGCCGCATTTGTGACTACCAAGTATCCCAAACAACGCAACAGATGCCCTCACCAGCAGTCAAAAGATGTTATCTTTTCCTTCAGGGAGAATTCGTGGACTCGCTGCCCAGCATCGCTAAGACGGGTTGAGAAGACTTTGGTCGCAGAGCGCCTGGTCATCTGAGAATTTTATTGGAATGCTTTGAGGGTTACTAAGGTACAACGGCCTTTACCACGGAATTTGACCCAAAGAAAAATACGTAGTTATGGTTCGAAATGGTCACCGCTGGACCATCTCTAATGACCCCACGAAGCTTGCTCGTGTCGACTCCACATCTCTCACGTCGACTACCATCAAGGCAACGGCTTTGATGACCACCGTACCCATGGTGCTTACCCCATTGGCGACCACACCAGGTTTGACCACTTCACTTACCGCGACCGCATTACTCTCATTGGTATAAACGCCTCCATTGAGCTCTGCTTTAGCTAGTTCAAATCCCAGAACCACTAGAACCGATCGCTCTTTGCGTATTCCAACCCGTTTCGTAGAATGTCCTTATTGCTACCGATTTTTTTAATATAAAAAAATGTTCTGTAGTATATGTTTATCTATCCACGCCTTAAAACACATTTTACACCCATCCTAGGCATATCTTTTAGTGGGTGCATTTAGTTTTGCGTTACTAGAACGGTAATCGATATCTATTCGTCGTGCTTATACTGTAAAATCGAGGAACGTTTCACTCCTACGATGTATATATGTATTTAATATAATTAGTCGGATTCTTTTTCAGAGATTTGGAAATTCCGGTGATCATAACACACTGTAGGTTATTGCCTTCAGCCATATATCCTGCAGGTTTTGTTAACCCAATTACTAAATCGTATGCGACCCCTGATCATCATCTTACGAACTCTTAACCACATTACAGTGGGTGCGCTTGACTTTGTGTTTCCTTCCAGTTGTGTTTCATAAATCGATCACATTGATTTTCCCGTAATTCGGGGCCGGAGTCAGTGGATAGTTTACTCTTGCTGTGTAGCTGCATGAGCTACCAAGCACACCAGTCATCCCTAGCATAGGTGCTGTTTGAAATAGGAAATTTTTCATGATTATTTCTTCACACCTTTTGGATCCCTGGCTGTCCAAGACTGAATATCAGTTTTTTTTGACAATTTCGCCAGACATTCTATCGTTGTTTTAATTGACTTGCAATACAAATTGTGTTCACGGTTGTATTATCTTTTCTCGCAGTTCTGTAGCCGCAATCGGTTGATGTCGATCTACTAGGGTTACCAAATCTAGCTCATAATACTGCCTATTTCATGGCAATCGTAGCCGTGGAGCCGTAAAATTGTGGAAACTGCTCAGTGTTGCAAAACTCACTCGTCGATAAATTGAAGTGTTTTGTCTCACGTATTGTTTTGATAACCACTTATAGTTAAATGACAGTCGCCACTTCATATCACCCACCGACCACTCTTTTTCAGATTCCATCTTGTGTTGTTTTCATCCGTCGGATATTGGACATTTAAGCTCATGCGTGGTGTAAGTTGTTGCACCTTTGCCCTATTCTCATCACTCACAGTCTTTCAGCATTAAACTCAACGATGCCAAGCTTTTTGTTGTGGGCATGTGTATTGTTCTGGTCGCAGAAATTTTCCTTGACGCGTCCTGGAAACGATATCCGTGCCTACTCAAATACCGATTGCCCATGATTACAACTGGCAATTCCTACTTTGGTTCGGGTTTGTTCTTTTCCTCTCCCCGGTTTATAACTACATTTTCTCTCTGATTCACAATCGATTTTAGTAAACACAAGCTTCGCAAAGCATATGGCGGACACGGTTCACGTTTACTGCTTTATCCTCACAGAACCTGAACATCTAAAAACACAAATCCATACGCAGAATACCTGGGTCCGGCGTTGTTCAGATTATGCATTTATCAGTACAGGAACTTTGGAAGGATTAAAACTGCTGAGTACGTCCCTTTCCTTTTCAGTGCCTCTTTTATGTTCGTCCTCTATCTTCCTCTCGCATTCGGAGACAGTGTAACTATTCCAAGACGTTCGAATTGTGGACTCCTAACTGTTTATCTTTCATACATCATTCATGCCCTACAAGCTATTGATCCATTTCCAAACCGCTTGGCATTTTTTATTTTAAACTAACGAAACTTGCTTAAAGGTCTTTCTTTTGAAATTATTTCATGCGACTTGGGGATATTGCAGTGCTATAAGATTTCGTCACTGTCATTAAACTGCTCTGATCCAAGGTTCGATATCTAAATCAGCTTTTGTCCAGTTCGATATCTCGCTCATCTTATCGAAACCTTATTTGGTTCACCACCCCCAATCCTAGACCTTTTTATAAAGATTATTGTATTATGATTTGTTTGACACACAGTCTGTTCTCAGACAAGTGTGATATAATATAATAACTAAACCCTAGGTAATCGATTGTTATATATGAGGAAGGGAACGTTTTCATTGGTCCCTTGTGAATATAAAATATGAGAAATGTATATGAGGTATATGTGAGATATCTATAATGTTTGTACGGACCACGTAGGTCCCGTTAGGCTCCATGGATGGGGACCTCGGGATGATCGTAATCGGTGGTTAGAGACACTGATTGATATGGCTGAGTGTCGTAAACAGTGGCGTTCGTGCATCCTGGCAATTTCTCTGCAAAATGAGTGCAATGAGATCCTAAATTTTCTCTTTGATCCTACTTTTAACCTTTCTTGTCTTTCTCTCTCATGTTCATCCAAACGGGCAGCCAAAAGACAGCAACCAAAACCGGCGCACGATAGTGCATGGTTAATAGCTGTAGAAACTGAACTGAACTGAACAGACCACTTGTTCGTCATTTTGTCTTACTACTCGTAGCAAGTGCATTTGGCTTGTTCATACGCCCAGTCCTAATTGTTCCTCTATTCCCTAATCTATCCTTCTCTTTCTCTCTCACACATGCACACATTCAGAAACCGAACACAAAGATCCTGGTTACAACCGTACCTCCTGGAACTCGATGCGTATTACCTTACGAGCCATATACGATGCGCGGGGTGATAATATGTACTTTCTAAAAGCTGGACAAAATGATTATATTATTATGGAAAATCTCCGTTACATGCTCCTGTCTGAAAATCCAGATGAGCCGTTTATCGTCGGTCATGTGCACAATGTAAGTGTGTGTGCTTGTGAAAATGAACTCGACGTGGTGATTGTTTCTTCTCCCTTAACCTCATTCCCGGACCTAGTCTTGACTTGACTTGTAAGAGGAAGTCCTGAATGGGAAATCAGTCTTTTCTCTTTTGTTGTCATTTTACTATTTTTTTCAATTGGTGGATCCGAATTCACAAATGTAAAAATGGTAGATGTTAGATAGAAATTGCATTTCTTTAATGGAATAAGGGGTTAGTGGCTCGTTCAAGGTATAGCAGTCGTCTCAAAGACTAATACACCATGGATCGCTTCATTTCCAGATCGGAAAAGTTCGGTTGGAGATGTTTTGATGAAACTGAAACACTTATGGAACAAATCAGTGCTGCTTGCTGCGTTAGTCTCTGTGATATTTGTTAATCGAGTGGTTTACAATTTCAATTCCACAGCACCGATCAGGCACGGCCTAAGTAAGCACCGCACTGTAATCAAACCGTTTCTATGATAGAGCACATCGCTGTCGTTCGAGGCTGCATAACAGATGCCTTGCTCACTCACATGTTTGTCAATCATTGCTCCGGATCCTAACGACCAACATGATTTTCAGCTTTTACCGCGAATAACAGTATTGTGACCTTTTGTTACTTTTCATGATACTCCTTGGAAATGTTGTACTGTAACAGTTTTGTCTGGGGTATAATAATGAGACGAGGCGTTACCTCAACAGTTTCCTAGTTGATTTGTACAAACTATTTCCGCATCATTGCAATCGCCTTTGTTTTGAAAATGTCAGCCGATCGATACCACAGCACCGTCTCCTTACACAGTTGCCGAAGAAATGGTCATACGAAGTGGCCTTAGCGATCCGTACTATACAACCTTGGTTGAGCACCTCTAGCTTCTTAACACCTTGCACGTGCAATGATAGTGTCTCACAACTGACAATCAGTAATGATGTCATAGCAGACTAGAGAAAGCTATTAGTCACTAGTATAATGTAAGTAGGAGCCTAGTGTTTTACAAAGCGGGCACTGTCTGCTCACAGTTCAACTTTATCTTTCGCTTGACGAATTGAATGAATCGTTTAGTTCATATTTACTGCCCAAAACGCAATCAACTTGGTCTCTACATTTTTTCTCCCGGTGAAACCCCCTTGATTGTGCTTATGTAGTCATCACATAGTGCAGCAAGCTGTTGGTCAGAATCCCAGTACTACAGAGTACATCCAGCTCTACTCCAACCGCCGGAATTATTGTACAAACCGATGTACCCAAATACTTCAGTCCGTTGGTCCACACGACCCCATTGAGTTTGAACATTCGCTGTCCAGTTCAGAAGAAGGATAAAGGTGATCAGAATAGAACCTGACTTGCGGCTGTGAAACCCTGGCCAGGGGACTTGGTCATGTATGTAGATCGCGTTAAGCTTCCTATATGATGGGGTCTCGGGCTCAGTTTTATAGATGATTAGACATATTGAATGTGTGATCGTTGTGTGTGCGTGCTCGTGCATTTACTCACTTTCCACGCAGATCTGATTCATCTGCTTCTTGTATCTTTGTTTTGATCGTACTCCTAGCTTCAAACGCTTCCATTTGTTCCTCTCTCTCTTTCCCTCTTCCGTCTGTTGGATAAGCAGCCGAAGTCAGTAGTCAAAACGTAGCACAACAATGCGATCATCAGTTTCCTTGTCTTCCCCATTTTCTCAGACGTAACCGAAAGTGATACTAATGAGGAAATTGACTAACAAGCGATAGATATGTTCGTTATGTTTCCCTCGATACCTATTAGAGTTTGTCCTAGTTTTACAGGAAGAGTCGCAAGGAGACCGTAGTGATGCTAGTCAAATTGTTGTTGTTGATGATGATGTCTCTACCCCCCACCATTTGAAATGTCAGACTCGGTTTTAGGTTATACCTGATCACTTTTCTTACCGCATTCATAAAGGAAACCCCTCCACCTTGCCCTCATTTGTTGCATACAGCCTTCTGATCAGATTGCAAACATCTCTGGTAGTGCCGGTTATGTGATCTCTCGGCAGGCATTACGTTTAATCGTAACCAAGGGATTGGATGAACAGCCCGCTTGTGCTGCGCAAGATGCGATCGAGGATGTACAAATTAGTAAGTAAGAAGTTCAGCCGTGCGTTTATGCGGGTGTACTGTTTTGCCATGTGCACTTGTGTAGTCGTGATCGACGAATAAATCTCTTTTGTTCCCTGGGATTTTCTCTTGATAAGGATCCTATGTGCACCATTTGATAATCTTCTTGCTTTGACTTCTTTCACATGGAGACGATATTTGAAACCGAAGCGCTCTGAATTAAAGTCCAGCTCTGTTCAACACTGTCAACTAGACACAATACAGCACAACTTAAAGAGATAATGACTTGGATCTTTAAGCAATAGTGCAATAGGAATTCTTTGTCCACATCCTTTTTTTCTGTTAACTACACACATTCAACCCCAGATCAGTACACAGAATGAACTAAACCAATGAAATGAAACTTTGTATCTCAATCAAAGAATTTCCGATGAACCGTTACACTAACAAATAAACTGATTTTTGTGGTTCGCAAAAACATATTTTGAAAACGTTGCCAGTCGGCCGTTCGTAATCTACTTGGGTCTATTTCAGCAATCCAAACGCTGAATTTTCCCTCTCCCTCAGCCCCCAGTAGTCCGATCTTTAGCCTCACGGTGATGCACAATCGAGGGGCTACCCGAACGATTTGTCCTATATCACTTCATGTCACTCGGTCCATCGCCATCATCATCAACGTACAGCGAGACGCAGTGAAGCGAGCTTCACTGATCGTTGCCAGCTGACATTCTTCTGGCTAACCTAGAAAGGAAAACACTGAGCTCGATAGCTGATGGATTAGTTCACTATAGTAGATATGTAGATGATATATTTGGTGTAGCGGATCAAGAGCATAGCGTATCACAAACGTTGAAGTCGTTTGATGAGGCAAAGAAACCCCTCAGCTTCACCATAGAAGTTGAAGCCGATAACATATTGGCCTGTTTTCAGACGTGTGTGAAATACAAATGAAATACATATTGGCCTTCCAAGATGCAGTTGTGTCCAGAAAAGGAAACGGATAAGTGAGAAAATAGATACACTAAAAGAAAATAGGGAGTGGTCAATACAGGAACTTGTATAGTTTCGTCTCTTTGGTATACAAACGTAATCTAGTGTGGTGTCTGGCCTTCAAGGCCCGGAGACACACTTGAAGAATGAATGCCATTCACCTGCGAAACACAGCAGGACAAAGGTCATCTAGAAAAAACTCATTGCTAAGAATATTCGAAATACTTCGGAAAAGAAACGATTTGTCTACTACCCCAAGAAAGAACTCTTCGTGACAATTCCGCTTAAGCGGGATTCACACGTCCAAAGGGGACTACAGTCACTGAAAGTGGTTATAAATTTTACAGCCAAATTTAGGTCCGTGTTCTCTACATCACCGATTGGTGAACGAAGAATTATTTTCGTTGATTCCTGATTTTGTGAATCATTGTACGGCTTAATACAGTGAGGCGATCTTCACTGTTTGCTGCCAAACTTATGCTAGGTTAGTGTTAATGTATAAGTTGATCAGGGACTGGACCTGTTTTGAGGAGAGGGGGGGAGGGAGAAGGTGAACCTCTATGGTCAACAAACAGTTTCACAATCAAGCTCTGCATACATACCGTTTAAAGCATTCTGACCTGACAAGAAATGACAACAAAAACACCACTGTTGTCGCTTCGCTGTCATCATCCTCATCATCGTACAGCGAGATACAGTGAGGCGAGCTTCACTGATCGCTGCCAAGCTCACAATGTACACAAATCAAATGATAAAGTATAAGATGGAGAGGGATTGGGCCTAATTGGAGGGAGGCAAAGAAAAACTAACCTCTATGTTCAACACACAGAGTACACAAACTAATTGTTCATGCATACCTTTTTCAAGCATTCTGCCTTCTTAAGAAATGACAACAAGAACGCCACTGCTGTCGGTCAGTCGCCATGGCCTTTAATGTCTCCAGCCAACCAGTTGTAGAGTCTTTCGGACCCCAACCTGGAAGACGGGAGACACCGATTCTAACTAATCGCTCTGTGCATTTGTTCATGCCTCGCTTCCACGTAATCTGTTGACCACCACGCGGTTTCTTCCAACCTGGAGCCGTAACTGCGAATAAGGCGCGGTGCGGCAGACGATGACTGGGCATGCGCAATACGTGTCCTAACCAGCGAAGTCGACTAATCTGAATTCGA